ATTTTTAAGATTTTTATACATTTATAGATCTATTTGATTTTAATAAGTTTTGGAATTTCAAATTTTATAATTAGATATAAAAATAGATTTTTAGATAATCCTAATAATGTTTTACACCAAAATTGCATGTCATGATAAAATGTGGGGGTGCGTCTTAATTGAATTGTTTAAGTTTACCACTTTATAGAAACCGCACCCTTACTCAAATAAAATTAAGGAGAAATTTGTCCAAAAATACAGCCTTAAGGCTAGCAATTTAACATTTTACTCGGATGTTTTGAATTTATTTCAAAATATTCATAAAGAAATACACATAATATTGGCTTGGAAGGGTATAAAGGATTAAATGTCAAATAGATGAGTGTGATGTGTATTTTGATAATTTTTCATAAAATTAAATATATTTGAATTTTTTAATACTTAGATTTGATTGTCCAATATTTAGACTATTTTCTCTAGTTTTAAGATATTATTTTTTTCAAACATATACAAACTGTGTCATGCGAATTTTTCAATTTTATTTACTGTACCACAATGGTCTTTGTTCAAGCAAGAAATCATTTTTCTCAGGGATATACAAGATCTCCCTTTTATTTTATTTTTACGTTGAAGGGGTTACATCTCAAAATTATGAAGATGTATACAACAAGACTATTTACTTTTGGTATAAAGAGCTCCCAATCATTATCGACAGTTGGATTTGAAATTGGTTAGTTGAGATATGCCATTGTTCAGACAAAATCTAAAATAATTTTTTTTGAATGCTACGACACACTTTCATCTATTAGATTACAAATCTAATGGCTATTAATTATTTCTTCATTTTTATACTAAAAGATAAAAGATGAAGTTTATATTGGGCCTAGGTTTTATGAAAACCTAATAAATCCTCATCTCAAATTCTCATATAGAAAGCACTTTCGAAAGTAAAAATTTTCATAATGGCTCTAAAATCAATTTCCAACACTGTTAACAAATTTTGAAAACTAAAAACATGTGTAAATTTTTCGGATATGTGAACACATATTTATAGGGTGAAAGAGATGGTCCAGATAATTTGTTGCAAAAGACACTATTTTTAGAGCTTCAAATCCTTCTTTTTTTCACAACGGAAATGTTAAAGCTGAGATGATCGATATAAACGTTTTCTAGTGTTTGAATTGCAATTTTTAATAAGTTATGAAATGAGGTTTACTTATTTTGATTAAGCTGACCATTTTTCAAAAATAAATAGCCTCATTGTATACAATCCAAAAAATTATGACGCCGAAGATTGGTTTCACAAGGAGTGAACTGCTCCCGAAGGAGCATCAAACATTTTGACTTGTACTGGTAACCGCTTAGAGAGAGACGGACTGCTGGCCATCTCCCAAAAAGCCAAACGGTTTATTTGGCAGTTCGTGCGAAGTTTTAAATTGCATTGTCACGTGTGACTTGAACTAGAGGACTAGCTTCAAAACATGACGTTAGTTACCCTTGCAAAATTGAGAAATGAACAAGATAGAAAATCCTTGATCACTTGCGGACGGCCGGACCGGGTTTAATGGTCAGCAAACTTAGGTCTATCTATGTTTCTCATTATTAAACTGCATAATTCTATCTAAGGCCCAACCCTTTCAATGTAAGTGGACTTCGACCAAAGCAATTTGGACCATTAGATTCACCCAATTTCTTTTTTGGGCCATTGGATGGGTGGTCAAACTGAAAACTAGTGAATTAATCTAATTACCTTTGAATTCCATGAAACTCCAGCTGGCTCACATGGTTTTTGAGGAATTTTTTAGAACACCTTTTAGATTTCTAGATGCCATTTGACTAGACATCATTTTCATCGGATTATCCAATGGTAGAATGTTTCTACTTCTAGTTACTAACAACCGGAAACCTTTTAGATTTTTTTCCTAATTATGATACATGGCAGAGGGCTCGGTACTGGTTACTCGATAATAACTGGTAAACTGGTCGGTTTAACTGGCCTAATTGGACAAGTCTGGGCTAGTCAAAAGATATTAAAAAGTTAAAAATCAGTGAAAAAAAGGGATTTTTAAAACTTGCATTTGTGTGTAGGGATATTTTTGAAATTTTCTAAAGAAAATGGAAAAATGTAAAAATAAGTATTAATGATCAAAACAATTTTCAATCTTAGCCAAAATGATGAAAAACATTAAAAAACACATTACAAATAAATTTCTTACGTTTTAGGGATTTTATTTAATTTTTTTAAAATACCCAGTCGGATCACCGAAATCGACTGAAACCAGAACCGACCAATGACTAATGCCGATCTAACCAAGCGGTTCTGTTTTGAACCGCCGATTTTCAAACATTTGACACACACACATATAGGGTGCGGTTTGTGTAGAGCCTAGGCTCTAAACAATCAAATTAGAGCCTACCTTCAAATAGTGTGGAGAAATGTGGTTTCAATACTGGAAATCTTTGTGATAGCCTTAAAATATATTTTCATCTTTATTTATAAAGTTTAAATCCTCAAAAATAGTGTAGATCGACAAGTCTATAAAAACTTGGAAATCTTGAAAATTGACGGTCCAAAAATGCGTTACAAAATACATTATTTCTAAAACTTAAAATCCATTTTTTTTCTCATGTCCATACATCTTGATGTCGAGACGGACAATTTGAGGATATTTGCGCATCAAAACAACTTTTTCTAGTAAAATTTTTGCGATAGGCTCCAATTTGATTGTTCAGAGCCTCGGCTCTATATAAACTTTTCCCAATATATAAATATATATATATATATATATATATATAAATCCTTTAAATTTTGTTGAAAAGGGGTGCCTTTCTTAGTGCATAAAGACTTTGAAATTTTGTGTGAATACCTATTAAGTTACCAGAAGACCCACAAACCACAAGAAGACCAAACAGTGCTCCACCGAAAAAACAAGGGCCTCTTGGTCTTTTGCCAAAAACCAAGAAAATTAGGGTCTATATAATCCTATCTTAATCAACAGTGGGAAGATCCAATGTACACAAACCATACCAGTTTTTTTTAATCCACACCCAAATTTGTCTCTTTTGTTGAGGAGAGCATTCTATAACCACCAAAATGTGTGCATAATTAATTTCCCTTAATACTTTCCTTAGAAAATCTCAATGTTAATATTTATACTCCCTAATTTGTCCATTGCGGAGGAGGAGAATACATGAAGTAATATAAAATTAAAGGAATTAAAAGAAAGCAAAACCACTTGTCGGGAATAACCAACAGAAAACCCTGGTTTCCCTCACTTTGGATTTTGACATTTGAGAGGTTTTTAGTCGGTGGGTTCCTAGTTCAAAGCCCAATACCGGTTTTCCTCCCCACAAAACAGGTTTTCTGATATAATAATAACCAAAAGATATTCTACTCCCTCTCGTGTATACTGTGCATTTACTTCCTCGGGTAAAACCCACCTATTAGAACTCTAAATTTTTGGGAATATAACCTGTTCAACCTATAGATTAACCTAAATAAAAAAGATTTTCTAGTTGTACATTCCATGTACTAAAAAAAAAAGAATTTCTCGATATTTAACAGAGAGACCATCTAAACTTTTTTTAGATTGCAAGATCTAAGTGTCAAATAACTCAAATTTCAATTTTTTTTATGAGAATAATCATCTAGTAATATTACTAAAATTCCAGGTTGAAAAAAAATTACTCCCAAGTAGGTCTTCTAGTGGAGGGAGTAAAGTACAATATGCTCCCGAAAGACGACAATATTTGTGCCTATAATAATAATGATAGTTTCTTATAATAATTGATGATAATTTATTATAAATACGAGGAGACAACTAACTATTCAACCATATACTCATTGTAGTTTTTTTCAGTTTTCTTGGGGGGATTGGGGCATTCTTATTTTAACTGTACTCCTACAAAAATCGAAAACCGAACCCTAAACCTAGGTTGCACGTTCACCTAGTTCCTTTTTAATAATTTTATTGTGTGGTTACCTTTTCCATTATTTTTAAGCAAGCCCGGATCTAGCACTCAATCTAAGGTTGTCACAAATCCACAAAAGCAACAAAATCTTGTTTTCATGCTATATTTTTTAAAAAAAGTGGATAATTTCTTGCCTGAGTAACTTATTTGTTTTAAAGGAATAGTTCATATAAGGTTGCAATCAATTAAAAAAGTAAGGTGCACCTCAAAAATTCATTAAAAAGGAGTATTCTATTAAGTAGGAAAATCTTCTAGTTGACAATCTCGATCTCAAAATGTATGGATATAAAGGAAAAAAAAAAAATTAGATCCTAAAAATAGTATATTTGGTAACGAATTATCTAGACTATCTATTTTCAAGATTTTCAAATGTTTATAAATCTTTTCAGTATGTACTTTTTTTAAAATTTTAAATTTCATAATTAATGATGAATATGGATTTTTAAGCATCGCAAAGTTTACGGCACCACAACTAAATTTGTCGATATAATTTAGAGGTCTGCCTTTCGTGTATAGTATAAAATGGGCAACATATACAAACCCCAACCTTGTTTTAAATCTAAAACTCATAATTCTTTTTATAAACATCATTTCTTCTAAACGCAAGTATTTGAATTTAAACTTTCGATTTTGTTTGTGGAGAACAATAGAAAGCAGATTACGTATTCCTAAAATTGGGACAGAAAATTATAGGATTCTCTTATTAGTGTCAGAGAAACCCATTTTTACGGAAAATAAAAATCTAAGCATTCCTAGTGGTCAAAAGGTTTGTTAAAATCACTTGAATGCCCACCAATCACAAAATAAAGAAAATCTTAGAGGGGACCCTTAAAAAAATTTGAATATAACCTAGAGAGAGAGGGCCTTGCCCGTGATGGTGCAACCCTAGAGAGAGAAAGTGGGGACAAAATCACATAGGGAGAAGGCCTAACCAGAGATTGTGGAATCCCATAGAGAGATTGGGATTGGGCAATTTAGGATTAGAGAGAGAAAGCAAAGAGTAAGTGAGAAGGCAAATTTAGAGAGAGAAAGCAAAGAGTTAGAGAGAGAAGGCAAATTCAGAGAGAGAAAGCAAAGAGTTAGAGAGAGAATGTGCAGTGGACAGGGGGCCTAGAAAGGCGGAGGGTGGAAGGCAAGTTTTCCCCGTGATTTCAAGAGTTTTAGATTTTGGCCTTTTGCGCATTGGCCTTTTATATAAACCCCATTAAACCCATTTTTTCAGACCCCCTCGCCCTTCTCTTTTATGTGTGAAATCTCCTGGTTTCTGCACTTTCATGGAAGGAGTTCTCTTCCCCATGGCCGCTCCTCTCTGGTCCTACCAGGAAAAGGTCCCACTTACTCTCTCTCTATTTCTTTCTCTGTTTACCCAACTGTGTTTCTGACCCCTTTTGCATTCATGATTCTATATAGTTTTAGAAATGGTTTTCTTTTTCGTTGGTTGGGGTTGTTCTTCTCAAAGGTCTCGTGAAAAAGTTTTGTGTTGACTTTTATAAGGTCTTTTATGTTTTTAAACCAATTTAGTATTTTGTTGTTATGATTATGCACCTGTTTAGGGCATGGGAACCTTTTGCAAGGCTTAGATAGACCTGTTATTTTCAATCTAGAAATGGGTTATGTTTTGTGTAACAGTTTCTGTATTGGTTTATGACCACCATCAATGCGCCTATTAGAAAATTCTGGTAATTTTTATTCAAAAACTGATAGTTTACTGTTGTGGGTTTAAATGGTTTCTGTTTCTAATAAATTTCTATTTAAAATCTCTGAATGGAGGTATTAGAGCAATGCCTCTGTTTTTTTTGTCTGGTGAGAAATCCCTGTGATTGTCATTTGAGAACCAGTTTCTATGCTTGGACTAAATCACATGTTCTTTTTATTGATTGTTAATTGAATTAAGGCCTGTTAATTGTTTTGTCAGTTAAAAATCGGCTCGTTTCTAGTGCTTTTCTAGTGGTATTAGATGCTTTCAAATTCCTCGAATAATAAAGAATTAAATAAAGATAGAGAGTTTAGCAATTCTGACTTCAAATTTGTTCATAGAGTGTTGAAGAACTGAGGCAAATCCTATTTTGCAAAATCCGAGAACTTGAATTGACTCGAATCAAGGCAAACGAACATATCCGGAGAAATGAAGAACAGATAAGACAACTGGTTGAGCTACTCAAAAAGACCTGCAAAGAAAGGGATGAAGCGAGAGATCAGTTGCAGAGTGTCCTCAACAATATGTACATCAACCCACCAACTGAGCTTTGCCCTAACCTCTCTAATCTCCAACCTAACACCCCACCACCCCCAATTCCCACAAGTGGTGGAGCCTCCACAATTACAGAGTCAGATAGCTTATCTGGAACTCACAAATCTCAAGCATATGTCTCATCCCCTGTTGAATCCCTATTCACAACTGTTTCTTCTATGCCAGACATTCCAAGTATGAACTTTGCTGATTCTGATGACTTAGATTTGATAAACCAGCTACCTATCGAAGAATTTAACAGTTATCCCACATGGGTTTCTTCAGATGTGTCTGAAATCAGATCCAATTTAGAGAATGACACGTTTGAGAATGCAGGAACAGTGGGTTCGAGTTCTCATCGAGTTCTGATAAAATCACTGCCTGAGAGGGGTAAGTTTCTACAAGCTGTAATGGAGGCTGGTCCCCTGCTTCAAACCCTTCTTGTTGCAGGGCCACTTCCTCGATGGCGCAATCCTCCACCTCTCGAGAGGCTTGATATCCCACCTGTTGGAAATAGGTCATCTGGTTCTGCAAATTTTGATAAGAAACCGGTTCTTGGCCTCAAAAATCATCAAGTTCAGTGCCCTCCTCAGAGCTTATCTTGCAATGAGAATTCTTTTGGTTTCATAAACACGGGTTTGGTTGGTTCAAATTTGAAAAAGAGGTCGGCACCATATTCTGTTCAAGGCCAAAGCCCAGTAGGAAAATATTGCAAATTTTACTAAATATCATGCTCTGTTATTTTAATTTGCTTTGTCATTTTGTTTTAGGAGAGTTTGCTTTCTCATTTTGTTTTTGGAGAGGGCCAGGTCATGTTTATAAACTGTGTAAAGATGAGATGTACATCCTGATGTAAAGAGATTTTCTTTTCATTTCATTATGGTATATGCTTTTGAGAAGATCAGTTCAAGCATGAAGTTACATCCACAAAAGCGGCACATCTGACACAATACACCCTATGGAAGCAATTCAGTTTATGCTATTAATTTAGTGTTGCAGTATGGATCTCCACAATGCTGAAGAATGCTTTATACAAAGCTGATTTTGAACACATTTCGTTACCGTACACGATAAATTGATGTCTGTAATTATGCTGGCCATTTTAAGTTCCGGTTTACCATCTAGAACATATGTACATTTTTATATCAAGGCTTACCAGCACCATTTCTTCTGTGTGTTTAGTTAACTGCCAGTGAAGGCTGTCTGGCGTGTTTCTTTGTTCAATCTAAGGTTTAGAAGCACGGTTTTGTGACTCAGATCTCCTCTCTGGAGAACCAGTGTGGATCTGCGGATTGGTGGTCCGTATCGACGATATTAAAAAATTTAAGAAACTTAAGGAATAAAAAAAGAACTGAAAAAATATTTAAAAATAAATTGGGACTGGTACTCTGGTAGAATTGGCCAGTTCACAGGAGAAATGGCCAGTTCCTGATAGTTAGGTAGAACCAGACTGGCCCTGGCGATTTTCGATCCGAACCGGCCTTGGTTAAATCATAAAAAAGGTTACCAATTTGTCACTGAGTTAAAGCCAGATCAGATGAGTGAATGCTAATTTTCTCTTGACCAAATTGATCATCAACTTAGAGAAAAGTACGTGTCCAGTCTAATCTAGTTGGACAGGGAGTTTGGGGAGTGCATATTTTAAAAAGGTCTGAGACCCAGAGGAGGGTGTTCTGGTCTAATCTGTTTTAAAGTTGAGGTCTATTTGTAGGACCTGTCCAGCAGAAAAGAACTCATTAAAAATGGAGAAATAAGATAATAAAAAACATTCATCAAGAAAAGATTACTTGATAATTCAATTTAAATTCATGTAGCAACAAGTAAGATGACTTTTTGTATTTTCCCTATTCTTAAATGGATAACAGATTTGCAAGATGCTTTGTCTTTTTTTATTTGAAATAAGATGACTAAAGGTCTTTTTCTATGGCAAATAAGCAATGTTGCCTTTTCCTTTTCATAATGTGAACTGAAGAACTTTTATTCAATGTCAACCTTGAAAACCTTAGATCTCAAATGCATGATTCTGAAATAATGAGGGGATGGATAGGGTTGTTTGTATGTTGATGGATTTAGTGAAAGAATATGCTAGTGCTTGGGAGACAAATGGGGCACAAATTTTCTCCAAGAGAAGCGCCTCAACCGTCCAAACCAAATTCAAATATCAAATAGGTCAAAAGATTTCATGCTCCGGCTGTAGCAAGCTGTTCATTTACTCTCTCAATTAAAACCAGTAATGTAAAAAGCGGATCGGTGATCCGGATCGGGCATCTCAAAAACCCATCCGGATCGGCGAATCGGCGATCCAGATCAGGAATCGATTGAATAGGTCAGATTAAACCTTAAAAAAAATCCGAAAAAATTATTAAAATTCATTATAAATGTTGTTTTTTAGGAATTTTATAAGAAATGAGGGTACTCCATTAAGAAATTTCATTTCTTTGCATGAATATGCAAATATTGATATGTTTTTTCCCTGCATGAACTACTATTTACCATTTAATTTACATCACACCAAAAGATAAACATAGAATTATCATGGATTAAGTATATCATAATACATGGACTACAATAAAGCATACAATTCGTAACATACGATCAAAAAATAAAATGACAGACGACGTCATTCTTCATCTTGGTCACACTGGTGCCATTGATTGAATTCGCGTGACAATTCATTGACTCGTTCTAAAAACGAATCATCCAAATTAGTGGCACCTGACTATACCCAAATCCCTGAGTGTTAGTGTTTTGTTGTGGTCCTAATCCAAAATCCCCGAAGCTTATCCATCCTTCATGCTCACCTACACTATCGTGCTCATCCCTACCCTCTTGTTGTTGGGACTCGATATGTGAATAATTTGGCTGGGATTGGGTGGCCTCAGAATCATCATCTCTCTCATTTTCCGCTAGACTCCCTTCCCATTCTCCCTTATTAGGTGCAATATCACCGACATCTCCGACGAATTGTGGATATGTTGGCGGGCTGCTTCCTCTTTCATGCTGCTCATCACCTTCTTCAAGATCTTCCTCACCGATAGCCTCAAGGAAGATCAATGGTATAGAACAAAAAATTTACATTGATATAATATCAATAAAAAAATATTTACAATGGTATAGTAATTCGCAATGCCAATACATATGGACTTGTCACAAATCTTCATTTTGACAAACATGAATTAGTTCCTACTGAGAAAAAAAAAATATTTATGCAACATTATAGATTAAAAAAAAGTCTGTATAAGTCACACTTAGAATCAAGAAAAAAAATTACAATAATATAATCATCCATAATGCCACTACACGTATATTTGACACAAAAAACATTTACAATGATATAGTCATTCACAATGCCACAAATAAAATTTACAATGATATAGTGGGCACAATCCCAACTCAATCGAAATGATCACAAATAGTTGTACATCTCAATTACAAATATGCAAGATAATATAATAAAAAATGCAAGCTCCAAACAAGGCTACAACTCAATTATCAAGAAAATACATTTTTTGCATTAAAAATTTAATAATAAAATTGAAAAATGTAAAATAATATAATTATCATACATGCCACGATTTTTTTACAATGATATTAACTTTAATTCCTCATGATAATACAGTTTAACAACATGTATTGTTTGCACTAAAAATTTAAAAAATTAAAAATATATTTTTAATACAAACTGCATTAAAAATATAATACAGTTTAACAACATGTATTTGTTAATGTATTTTTTGCATTAACAACAAATTAAAAAATGCAGTTTTGCATTAAAAATATAACAACATGTATTTTTTGGCATAAATAATCTATCAACATGCAATTTTTTGAATTAAAAATTTAACAATAAAAATTAAAATTATTCTTTAATTCCTCATGATAATAAAAACTAGTTACAATTTTTCAGAAAATCACGATTTTTCAAAAAAATTGATCATGAATTAAAAAAAAAAAAACGCAGTTCTTCACAGACCCACTTAACATCAGTCATTCCAACTCAAAAATCTGCCGCAAATCAAATAAATTACATCAAATTGAATGTATGTTTTGATAAACAACACTATAAGGAATCACAGCCCTATAATATTAACACATTATTATCAAAATATTAAATAAAATCAATTAAATTGAGGAAGAAAAAAAAAACACAGTTCTTCAAAGACATCAGTCATTCAATCTCAAAAATCAAGCTCAAATTGAATAAATCAGATCAAATTGAATACATGTGATGATATACAACACTATAACGAATCAAAACCCTATAAATTTATCACATTATTTACAAATAATTGAGTAAAATTGATAGAATGGTGGAAAAAAAAAAAACCGCAGTCCATTTTTTCTTCATAGACATCAGTATTTTTTTTCAAAAATCAAGCTCAAATTGAATAAATAAAATCATATTGAATACATGTGATAATAAACAACACTATAACGAATCAAAACCCTATAAATTTAACACATTATTTGTAAAATATTGAGTGAAATTGATAAAATGGCGTAAAAAAAAAAAAGGCAGTCCATTTTTTCTTCACAGACATCAGTCTTTTTTTCTCAAAAATCAAGCTCAAATTGAATAAATAAAATCAAATTGAATACATGTGATGATAAACAACACTATAACGAATCAAAACCCTATAAATTTAACACATTATTTGTAAAATATTGAGTGAAATTAATGAAATGGCGTTAAAAAAAAAAAAAGCAGTCCATTTTTTCTTCACAGACATCAGTCTTTTTTTCTAAAAAATACAAGCTCAAATTGAATAAATAAATTAAATTGAATACATGTGATGATAAACAACACTATAACAAATCAAAAACCTATAAATTTAACATATTATTTATAAAATATTGAGTGAATTTGATAGAATGGTTAGAAAAAAAAAAAAAAAAGCAGTTCTTACCTGTTTTTTATGCACTTGTGGCTTCAAATTCAAATTTGATATGTATTCGTCCAAAATACTCACAAATTATGAATAAAAACTTCTAAACAACACTCTTACGATCAATAACCCTCAAATTTTACAAAAAATGATGCCCTCTTTTGCTTGAAATCAAAGAAATGGCGAAACCCTAAAATGTTTTTAGGGTTCTTCACATATCCAAATTTTTTTGATCAAAATCAGTGATTTTTACTATCTTTTATTGACTGAAATGGCTGAAAAATTTAAAATAAAGCCCACAAGATTCGATTATAAAGCTAAAACAGATGAAAAATGATAAGAAAATGACAAAAAACCATGAAAATTGTGAAGAATACTATGCAGCCCGTGTTCTTGGACGAATCATTGTTGAGACTCGGCAATTCACTATTGGGAATTGCTCTGTTCTCTCTAGACAAGGGCGATTCCTGGTATTGTAGTGGAACCGGCAAGGGGTCTACTGATTCCCGAGTCGAACCAGGTGGGCCCGGTTCGACTCGCCGAGTTTTCAACCCCCGATTAAAACGCAAGGAAAGAATCGCGTTGGGGTTTGTGATTAACAATATTCAAATATCAAATGGGTCAAAAGATTTCACGTACCGGCGGGAGCAGGCTGTTCATTTACTCTCTCAATTAAAACCCAATTTAGGAAAGAGTGGGCTAGGGCTTGTGGTTAACAATTTGACTTTAGTAGTGCTACATCACAAGTTCGATTCTTACAACTAAACTAACCGATTCGATTCTTACCACTAAACTAACAAAAAAAAAACATCTAGAATATTTTTGTATCCCAAAATTTTGGGATCTAAGCTTTTCAACCTCATGACTGAGCTCAAAGAAAGAATTTTTGGATCTAAGCTTTTTAACCTCTCTAGGCGCGCCTGAAAAACTGACATCACATGATTCAATAGAGACCAGTGAGATCAAAGTGTTGAAGAACTCAATGTCCAAATTTTATTTTTTGAGAATAATCATCTGCTGATTGTTAGGTAGATTTTAAATTTTCAAATCAAGAAATTATCTCAAATAGTTCTTTCGACTGAGGGAGTACCCACCTATTACGCTTCCGCAGAATGTTTTTGAGATAAAAATTTACTGTTCCCTTGGAGACAAATATTCCAAGAACATCTAGTTTTGGTAGAAGTAAACAATAACATTAAATAAATATGTACTAAGTTCCCTTCATTGTTCGTAAAATCACCTGATCTAATCGCTAACCACCCGATTAGATCAAAACCGGCCACGGTTTTAGGCGGTTAGGGTGATCAGCCGGTATTTAAAAAAAAAATATTAAAAAAAAATGTATATAAATTCTCAAAAATAAAGAATTTGATTTGTAATGCATTTTTAAATATTATTTAGATTATGGTAAATATTAAAAATTGCTTTGGTCACTAATACTCACTTTTATATTTTCCCATCTCTTTTAGAAAATTTAAAAAAATAGCCCTTAAAAAATATAAAATGGGTTAAAATCTATTTTTTTCATTAATTTTCAACTTCATTTGAATGTGTTTTGATTAAATCATTCTTCATATGTTTTCCATATTTTAGTAGATGTTTTTTTGTATTTTTTTTAACACTTTTTTGACCGCCTGGGACATGTCCAATTAATGCGGTTGAATCGTCCAATTTACCGGTTAGGCCGGTTAAACCGCTTCTAGGCCATGTCCGGTTAACCATTCCGATTTGATCCCCTGGGTGAACTCCTTAATAATAAATGAATAAATAGTACGTAATTTGATGATTCTTGCCTTTGGAAAAAGTTCTACTCATTAAAGGCAAGGTCACATAAATGAACTTCTGTTTCACAATAAACTTTGAGGAGCCACTGGGTAGTAAGGAACTGGCACTCAAATTGTGTGGCAGGAGTCAAATGCATATCTACGAGGACGTCCTAGTTATTCTTCACATATACTTTAAGCCAGGGTTTGAAAACTCGGCGAGTCAAACTGGACTCGCCCGGTTCAGACCTCGTGCCGATTTCACTATAATACCGAAAATCACCCGTGTCTAGAGAGAACCGGACAATTTTCAATAGTGAATCGCCGAGTCTCAACAGTGACTCGTCCAAGAACACGGGTTATACAATGTTCTTCACGATTTTCATGGTTTTTTGTCATTTTCTTATCATTTTTTCATCTTTTTCAGTTTTATAATCAAATCTTGCAGGCTTTATTTTAAATTTTTCAGCCATTTCAGTCAATAAAAATCACCGATTTTGATCAAAAAAATTTGGATTTGTGAAGAACCCTAAAAACGTTTTAGGGTTCTGCTATTTCTTTGATTTCAAGCAAAAGAGTGCATCATTTTTTATAAAATCTGAGGGTTATTGATCGTAAGAGTGTTGTTTAGAAGTTTTTGTTCATAATTTGTGAGTATTTTGGACGAATTGTAAGAGGATTATTGTTTAGGGAAAGAAAAGCAGAGATTTTTAGTATAATTTAATGGTGATCCTTTGGGGTCCTACACACATGGGTAAGGGAAATCCTATAGGATCATTACTCAACGATTTGATAAAGAATCACTATTAAATTTGGCACGGATCTCTAATAAAGTCAAGTCCCACACACATAGGTGAGGGAGGGTTCTATAGGATCATTACTCATAAGATTTATACTTTACAAAACCATAAAAACCCAAAAATATGAAAAAGTGGTCCCTCCAAATTGTTGTATTGTATACAAAAATGAAATAACTAAAAATTTTAAAAATTAAAAAATGTGAACTTCATTAAACTTTTGCATCCACAAGAAAGCAAGAAAATAGTTGTACCGATTAATATGTTAAAGCAAATCCAAATTTTTTACCTCATCTCGTAATCCCATCTGCATAAATCTTGGTGGTTTGATTTGAATCTTCATCTTGCTCTTTATAATGATGCTCCTGGTTTGGCAAAAAAGATCGTCTCAGGTTAATTTTTCTATAAATCTACATATTATTTTGAGATACACAGCTATTTTGAGATATTATTTTATCTAAGAACTTATTCCTCGTGTTTTTTTTTTATATACAGTTTTTTGGAGAATTCGCTAGTGAAAGTTTTTTATGGAATCTTTTGTTAAATCAAGACTTCTAATTTAAACCCTCGAGTAAGTTTTTCTGATTTTTTTTTTTTTTTAAACAACACGAAATACATATTTATATCAATTCTATTAGAAAATATGATTTTTTAAAGATATGTTAAAAACTTGGATTTCTCAACGAATTTCAAAGAATCGAAATTTTTCTTTCAAAAAATCGCATTTTAATGAGAAACTTGCTAACTATGGCCCCAATTTCTATTTTGGTCAAAATTTGCTGACATTTTTGGCAAGCCATATTGACACACTTTACGTCGACGGAAACACCAATAGCACACACATTTTGATTTTGGGGACTACTTTAATCGTTAAGCATGTGCCCTTGAAATGAGCTAGCAGGACACGTTGTTGGGTCCTTATGGGACCAAATATTTTCCCATTAATTTATGGGTTGTGGGGCCTGTAATTATTTTTTGCATGTTAGATAGGATATCCATTCTCCAGCAATATCCATATTTTCGGGATATTTATGTAAATATATATTTTTAAAATTAAAAAATAATCTTATTATTTATAAATTTTATGTCAAAGTCTTATATTTTAATAGATTTTTTTAATCCAAAATATGCCTAGTCCAATACTTGAAGTATCTCGATTTTTTTTTCTCTAATCCAATAATTCAAGTAATGGACCAACTTCCTATAAAATATATGTTAGGTACTGTTTTTAAGCGCCAAACGAAACTTTTTTTTATTTTTTTTTTGCCACAAGTCACCTGAGACTTGAGAGTGCCAGTCCACCTCCCATGTTCTCCTCACCTATGAGTAGATGCCCATGCCCTGGGCTCGTGATGGGTATACACTGTTAGGCTCCGTGAGTACCTAACCCATAACCACATGACTTAGACTCACGTTGGGTGCACCGAATTGGCCTAGACCCATGTCCACTGTTTAGCACCACGAGCACCTGACTCATGTTGGGGACACTGTTATGCACCACGGGTCCGCACCCTTGCTGTGCTTGGCTCGCACCTGCTGGTTCACACATACGGCCACGGGGGTTCGAGCCCAGGGATCCCCATGGAAGGTTTACATAGGCCATGTCCAAAATTCTCCACAAGAAAATTGTGGGGGCCTTTGCAAACAATCCCATAAAAAACACTATGCGCCCTTTCAAAACAATCCCCTATAAAACTTCAAAAGTCTCCCTTGAAGTAAATTAATGAAGCAAGAGAAAGCGAAGCATATTGGCATGGCATGAAACGTTTCCAATGCATAACCTCCTCTCTCACAACAAATTCACATCAAGTTTCTCTCTTCAACTCCTGCCTTGTCAGACGCCAACTAAATACCATCTCTCTTCCTCAAACCTCCCCCACCCCAAATCTTGAAACCCAAAAAATTCATGCCCATCTTTTTAAAACTGGAATACCTTTGCATTCTTCCAATTTGACACAACTGGTGCGCTCGTATTGCAAGCTCAAATCCTTCACAGAAGCCCACAAATTGTTTGATGAAATTGCTCCCGGGGACTTAGTTTCTTGCACAGCCATAATCGGGGCACTCGCTCGCCATGGTCGAGGTGAAGAGGCATTATGCCTTTTCAAAAGGATGCATTTTCTTTGTATTATGCCAAACCAATTCACTTTCGGAACTGTCATTCACGTGTGCACCAATCTCTGCAATTTAGCGGCTGGGGAGCAACTGCACGGGCTTTTAATGAGAATGGGTCTACAATCTGATGTTTTTGTGGGCACAGCATTGCTTGATTTTTATGCCAAACTGGGAAAAATTAATGAAGCCAAGAGTGCATTCGCGGACATTTGGGAGCCCAATGTGGTCTCCTTTACAGCACTCATAATGGGTTATTTGAAGAATGAGATGATTGACGATGGTTTGGAGGTGTTTAGAGTTATGCCCAACAGAAATGTGGTTTCTTGGAATGCGATGATTGCGGGGTTGAGTCAAGCGGGTCACAACGAGATGGCATTAAATCTGTTTGTTGAGATGTGTCGAGAGGGAGAGAGGCCTAACCAATCCACCTATCCATGTGTTTTCAGGGCAGCTGCAAATGTGGCTGCTCTTGGCATAGGCATGCATTTGCATGCCCATGCTGTGAAGTTGTTGGATGGATTTGATGTCTTTGTGGGCAATTCTTTGATAAGTTTTTATGCAAAGTGTGGAAATGTAGAAGATGGGAAGTTGGTTTTCAATCAAATGCAGGAAAGGAACATTGTTTCTTGGAATGCTTTGATTTCAGGGTATGCTCAAAATGGTCAGGGAAGCGAGGGAGTGAATTTATTCAAGGAAATGTGTGTTTCTGGTTTCAAACCGAACAGTGTTACTGTTCTTTGCCTGTTGTTTGCTTGTAATCATGGAGGCCTCATAGAAGAGGGGTGCGCGTATTTTGAGTCGGTGAAGAGAGAGAATCCCCAATTGCTGGGGCCCAAACACTATGCTTCTATGGTTGATCTTCTCTCTAGGTCAGGAAATTTTGAGAAGGCCAACAAGTTCTTGATTGATTTGCCATTTGATCCTGGAATTGGGTTTTGGAAATCATTGCTTGGTGGCTGCCAAATTCATTCAAACATAGACTTGTCTAACTATGCAGCTCAACGCCTTCTCGACTTAGATCCTGAGGATGTTTCAAGCTATGTAATGCTCTCAAATGTTTTCGCGGTTATGGATCAGTGGCAGGATGTGTCAAAGGTCAGGAGATTGATGAAGAATAAGGGGATGAAGAGAATCCCTGGTTGCAGCTGGATTGAAATAAGAGATAAGGTTCATGCTTTTGTGAATGGGGATAGAAGGCACCCAGAGATTGATGAAATATATCGGGCGTTGATCGAATGCTATTTGCAGTTGAAAGAAGCAGGGTACGCTCCAAAACCACTACTTAAATTTGAATGTGATGTGGAATGATTGTCTCAAATTGCCTTCTTTTTTGAGAGAAAAAAGCACGACATATGAGCAAGGAAGGTGATGAAATGCACAACTCCAAATCCACTAGACTGGAGAAAATACAGTCCATTTGAGTCGTCACCTTAATAAAAAGAAGGCAATGACCCTGTATAAAGGGCCATGACTCTGACGGTAGATCCTATTCTGTTCACGGCACTGTTTGTAAAACCGGCCGATCTAATCACTAACTGGCCGGTTAGATCTGAACCAGCCAACGACCGCTTCCGGTTTTGATGGTCACCCAGTATTTTAAACTTTAAATAAAATAATACTTCATATTTATATCAAATTCGTTGGAATGGCGTATTGGTTAACGTATTGTTTAGCTTTGACGAGTTTATTAATTGGTTCAAAAACCATATTCCATTTATTACTTGAACACCATTTACTACTTAGTTGATAAAAATAAGGGTTTATATTATATACAATATAATTTTTTCTTCATTTTCTTTTAAACAAAAAAAGATCATTTTCTTAAAAAAAGATTAAAAAAGATAAGTTTTTTAAAAAAGAAAGATCATTTTCTTTTAAAAAAAGAGTTGTCAAGTTGATTTTGTAAACACTAATTTAATATTCTTTACATTATGGTAAAGATTAAAAAATATTTTGATCATTGATACTCATTTTTATATTTTCTTATCTTTTCAGAAAATTTTACAAATACCCCTAAACACAAATCGACTCGTTAAAATCTATTTTTTCATTAATTTTCAACTTCATTTGAATGTGGTTTGTTTTAATCACATTCTTTATATGTTTTTCATATTTTAGTAGATTTTCTTGCATCTTTTTTATTTTTTTAACATTTTTTAAATCGTTTCGGACTTGCCCGATTAGAGCGGTTGAATCAGACGGTTTACCAGTTAATCGCTTCCAGACCCATGTCCAGTTAACCGTTCCCGTTCGATTTTACGAACGTTGGCTCACGGACATCGATTTAATGGGTGGCCCAAATTTGCCATTGTTTTCCTATACCATGCTTGTCCTATGATGAATAAAAGGATGGATTCTCACTGATGCGAACCCGGCCATATATTTGAGGGACTACAGTTGATCCCCATTGCCTTGGTGGAATTGTCGGTGATTAATAAAGCATCCTAATGCATGCATCTATTTAGATTGGCAAACCTCCATTATATGAGGTGAACTATAATTTTGACCTGTTGTAACTGACACTGCATATTCCTGTTTTGCTGTTTCATTGAAGGCCATTTGAACTTGTCCCTCGCCATTGATGAATGATTTCAGCTTTTACAAGTTCACAGTTCCAGTACCCTTAAAATTGGGACTGCAATGGACCCAATTATTGTTTATAGATGACGAGAAACCTATTCTGGATGGTAACAAGATAGACGCTCCCATATCACATCTCCTTCATGGATAGTTTTAGGTTAAGTCTGCTTGTTTGATTAGTTAAATCATCCTTCCTTTTCAATGATTTGCATGCCTTCTTAATTCATTCATTTTCCTAACAGTTCAGGATGGCAATGCGATAGTGCAGGACTGCAAGTAATGCACTACATCCTAACTCTATAGGGATTCTCTTCTTAAGCTTACGATTAGGGTTTGAGACAAGCTTACTTCACCAAAATAGTAAAGAAAATAAATTTCAGAAAGTCAATCTGCAACAAATGGAACTCATATATTTGGAGTGACCAATAACTTTGTCTCATACAGTAATTCTCATCCTCAACTAAATCAAAATATGTAAAGAACAAATAAACTGAATGAATTCGTTTTTTACCAAGATGTGGGATTTGTAAGTAAATGGAGCTACAGTGCGTTTATTTCCAGTGCGTTTGACTGGTGTTGACATAAGTGGGCGGGGGCGGATGAATCCATGCCATTGTGTTTGAAACAATTGGCAAAGTGGGGATTCATATAGAATAACTTACAAATCATATACATATAGTTGAAAAGATCACCATGAAAAGGGGCTTGCTCCCAACAAAAAAATCTCGTTTTCAAGATCTCTCACCCATTGACAGACCCTATTGCAAACATTTATGGCCAAACCCTGTTTTCGGCAAAAAACCAAAGTTAGAAGTAAGCATCTCAAACACACCATATATAAATAAAATCTTGAATGATATATACTGAAACTGTAACTGAAGCTAGTTACTGGTTTATATCAATGAAATAAAGATCAAATAATGCCAAGTTACTAGCAATAAAATCTCTCAAGTCACAAAAGAAACTGAACAACAAAATGCATGAAGAATTAGTCTCATAAGTTGCTGGTGAGCCTGTAGTTCCAGGTCCTAGTGCCATAAGGTCATAATAAATGAGGTTACACAACCCATAAGTTTAGAAGGAAAAGTTGACAATCAGATCCTTGAGGACGATGCTCCTATTGAACAGGCCATCATCAATTTTTCAGGAACCTCTTCAAGGCTCCATCGGGCGATAGACCGAGAATGTCTTCCCTGTCCTTCAATACCTTACCTCCTGAGAAGGCAACGTGGCTTGAGCAACCCTTCTCTGTCAAGGAGATTCTTGGTGCAATCAACTCCTGGGGCCAAGACAGAACTCCAGGCCCCGACGGATTTCTGATAGCACTTTTTAAGCAGTGCTGGGACTCCCTGAGGCCAGATTCAGTAGCCTTTTTTTAGGACTTCCACAACAGTGGCATTTTGAACAAAGCGATGAATGCAACTTTCTTAGTCCTTATTCCTAAAGTTGAAGGGGTGGAGGAACTCAAATACTTTAGGCCTATTAGTCTAGTTAGCTCTTATAAGATCCTTTCTAAGGTGCTTGCTAGTAGACTCAGAGAGTACCTTGGGTGGGTCATATCCCCTTCACAAGGAGCCTTTGTAAAGGAAAAAGGCAAATGGTCAATTGAGCCTTAATGGCTCATGAATGCATCCACTCTCGGTGCCTGGCAAAACTCAAAGCACCTAAGGAAGAGGCGTAGAGTGTCTACTTGTTGAGTATGGGCATCGCAGTAGAGAAGGGTATTGTCGGCATATTGGGAGATAATAGGGCCTTTGCTGCTAGCCTGGAACCCCCTTAGTAGACCATGTCGATAAAGCCCAGCAATGGAGCTGCTGAAAGCCTCCATGACAATAGAAAAGAGGAAAGGCGAGAAGGGGTCCCCTTACCGGAGGCCCCTCGAGGATTAGAAAAGGCCCCTAGGGGAGCCGTTGATAATAACAAATGAAGGTGAGGAAATGCATCCCCTCATCCACCTGCGCCACCGGGGGCCAAACCCCATCCTCCTCAAACTCTCCTCTAAGATATCTCAATCAACGTGATCCCCCTATGATGTGGTCACCAACCTGGCCCATCATTGGGGTTGCAAAGCTCAATCCCTCTAATCCTCTTACCGGGGGTTGCCTTTGTATATTGGAAAACCTAAATCTAGACAATGGTCCGACATCATCGATAAATTCGAATGTCTAGGTCTCACATCATCGACAAATTCGATCGGCGCTTCGCTGGTTGGAGAGGCTGCTTCTTCTATCCAGCTAGGATACTCACCCTTATTAAGGCAACCCTATCTAGCATTCCTATCTATCAAATGTCTATTTTCATGTTGCTTGCCTCAGTGGCAAATCGCCTTGAACAGCTTATGAAAAACTTTCTTCGGTCCAGGTCGGAAGGTAGGAAATACCACTTAATAGCCTGACAAAGTTTGTGCACTGACTCTCATGGGGGTCTGGGGATCCGCAGACTCAAAGATAACACTCTCATCGGAAAATGGTGGTGGAGATTTGCTTCTCAGAGCAACCATTTATGGCAGGAAGTGGTGTGCCAAAAGAACTGGTGCCCTCCCAATGCTTGGCTCCCTAGTGGGAGGTTCTCTAGTAATGCCTCAGGACTCTAGAAAGGCCTTATCTCCTGCCTTAGCCGTTTTGCAAGAAATATTGGCTGCCTCCCGAGAGCTGGGGACATGATTTCCTTCAGGAAGGATACTTGGATTGGACAAACTCCCCTTAGGGACTCATTCCCTTCCGTTTTCCATTGGGAATGCAATCCCCATTCGTCGGTCGCAAATAACTTCAAATTCAGAGCCCCAGGGAGGGTGTGGTCTCCAAACTTTAGAAGGCATCTTAACGACCACGAATTGCCAGCACCCTTAGAACTGCCATTCTTCATTCTTTTCTTCTCCCCCCTTCGGGCCAGGACAAGATCGCCTGGTTCCCTGCTCCCTCGAGTGTCTTTTCAGTCTCTTCATTCTATCATGCCCTCATCAGGCCCACCCAAGAAGCCTCAAGGTCCCTTGCCCCCCTGAGTAAAGCCTGGTTCTCTTTTATTCCTCCGAGAATTCAATTCTTAGCTGGGTAGCAATCCACTAGAGTGTCCTAACTGTGGACCAATTACAAAGAAGGTGAACACAAATCCCCAATCAGTGCATCATATGTCGATGCAACGGTGAATCCAATGCCCAACTGTTCCTGCACTGTGAGCTCGCTACTGAACTTTGGGGCCCTGTTCTTCAATTGTTCGGGTGGTCGTGAGTGAGTCAGTCAGTCCCTCAACTGTTTTCTTCATACCTATCCCCCCTTTGGCCCAAATCAGGCACCCTCCTATGGAAAGTTGCCGTGGCTGCTACACTTTGGGTCATTTGGTTGGAAAGAAACCTTCAAACCTTTCGTGGCGAGTCCACTCAAACCGATATACTCTTAGAGAACCCTTCAAACACTGCTCAACCGCCGACTTCCACAAAAATTGGCGAGCCTTGCTTTTCCTCCAACCCTCCCAAATCATTCGAGCATCTCCATGGACCGCCGCGGCCAGCGGCCAGTCCAAGCTAAACTTTGATGGCTGGTCTTTGGGAAATCCAATCCCATCGGGTATTGGGGAGGATTTTCCAGAAATGGATAAAAGGTCCTATGTATACAAACATAATTTTTATGTCTGGGTTATTTAGTTATTAATTATTGATTCATATACATGAGAGTCAAATCCTCGACTTCAGAGTGAGAGAACAAGAGCTTCATACGACAAGGCTATAGCATAGACTTGCCGGTATAATTGTGTGGAAGAAGAGAAAAGGAATCACAACATTTAGGGAAGTGACCACCTAAAACTCAGCCCAATACACCTATGTACATTTCACAGGAATATGACACAATAAATTGGCCCCATTTATAGGCGAGGCCATACAAGACTAATGTCGAATGTTCACTAATACAAACTGGTCAAGATACTGAGGAGTTTGAGTTTTTCATCATTTTCAATGCACAAAATCTTAATTTTTTACATCTCCAAACCATGATCAATGTAAAATAAGCCTTCTCCAGAATCACATCCCCCCCTGAAGCCAAATATCTCCCAACTCATCAAAGAACTGTTCAACAGAGGAAGAAGTGGGAAGCAACCCTACTTCTAGCTACAAGCAAAAGAATGTCCCGTGACATAAAGAACAGCTTTAAGCAAACCTGTCTCTAAAAGCACCAGAAGATCTCTCACACATCCAACAACTCGATAAGAAAAAGATTTCCATAAGCGTGTCACAAGTTGACATATTCTTAAGGCTAAGGTTCCTCTCTCCCCTTCAAACTTTCACTGTGAGCATGAAGCGGGACCAAAGCTCAGCTGCTTGGACTGGAACTCCCCCACTCCAGAAACTTGATCTTGTTTCCACTCCAGAACCTCGATCTTGTTTCCACTCTAGAACCTCACAACCCAGCCACTTCATAACCTAATCTTTCTAAATATTGATGTTCATTCAATTGCTGCTTCCCTTCCCTCTCCCAGTTCCACTCTATAAATCCATAGATTAAATAATATATGGAAGTGAATTAAATGGATGGAAATGGCAAACAGAACAAAATTCTCACAATTGAGTAATCAGGTGCAATAAAAACCTTTTAGTTCTATAAGAACTTGGCAATTTGAAATATTCTAGTGACTTAATATTTTAATAGTCTAGATCCCAAAGAGTATTTGTAACTGCCATATCATATACCTGCTCTAGTGTATAGAACTTCCTTTATTGCCATTTATTTCATTTATACAAAGGGGCTGATCAATAGATTCATACAAGTATAGAGTCCATGAGATTTCATCAATGTAGTGGCATGCAGTTTAGCATGAAATTCAAAAGCAAGACATATTTATGGAATATCAAGTTGACAGATTGAACACCTCCAAGTTCTTACATTAGAAATAACTTCTAAAAATGTTTCCTAGAAAGAGCACAGACCCTTGATTCTTTATCAATTGAGATTAATGTATCAAACCCATTTGATCACTGATCATAGTCCCGACATGCCACCGTACACTCATGAAATTTACAAAATTTTGAAAAGAGGGACTTTCAATCATTGGATAGCAGCAGCCATCCAACACATCAGCAGAGAGTCCTCCAAGTTAATGGATTACATTTATCAAGCACTTGCAGAGGTACATCTGTCAGTCAACTAGTGACAGACAACCAAATTCTGAGAAGCATTTATATATTGGTTAGTATCCATCGCCACTCCTAATCCCCTTGGCATAAAGGATTTGTTCAAAATCTAGAGTATTAAACTACAGAGTTACTGGTTCATGTTATGGAATTATTCTGTAATAGAAAAAGGTGTAATTGAATATACCATTTTACCACTATGAAAGTTCTGTTCAGCTTAGCGTGTGTCCTTAGGTGTATGATGATTACTTTCCAGTATGTACTCATCCTAGGAAATGATAATTAGAATTTCCCAGGGCAACAACAAATTCAGGTTTTCTACCGCATTTAATTCTTCATAAAGGTGTGATAAGCCATCTCACTCAAAATAACAGTGTAGGCACTGCCACATTTATAGTTTCACTCCATACAGAAATAAATTGAAAAGTCTAAATATTTAAATGAAAACAATTCAAACAAGAACTATTTCACTTGCATCAAATAAGAAAAAAAAATCAAACTGGAAAACTATCTGTATCTGTGTCTATCAAAAAGAATAAACAATTACACAAGAAAACTATTAATATTTGCTACCCGTATCCAAGAGAATGATAGACAAACCTTCTCAGCTAGTGGATCAAATGCAGCATAAAGCTCAAAATCTTGAGTGATCCAGCATAAAAGAACTGCCAAATAACACATTTTAGATGGTGAAAGAACAGAACATGTTGAGATGAGCTCTAGAAATGGTAGAAAAGAAAATGAAGAAAAACCTCAAAATGGAAAAATTGAAAACTGAGAGGTATCTCTCAAGTATGGAAACAAGTAGACAAGTAAAATCAGAGTACGTTAAGACATGGGAACTATCCAACAAAAAAAAAAGTAAGGAAATTGACCATCTAAGATATAAGGATTCACAAGAAAGTTATGATGATATGCGATAAGTAGCACAACCCCCGTGTTAGTTGATGCTTCTCAGGAACGACTTGAGTTTTATTCGAAAACCATAAACCCAAAGTGTCATCTCTCAAAAATGGATGCGCTTCATTATTTCACAAAATTTTCATTGAGAATATATCCCAAAGTTGAATTTTTCAAAAATGCTACCAGCCAAATAAAAAGTGTGATGGCCTAGGCCCGGTCATTTTGGTGATTCTAGGAAAAGCAATAGACTGGTTTTCTGAGATTCAAAATACTTGGTTCTCCAAGATAAAATCTGGATTTCATAGGTGAGAGGAACCTAAAATTTAGGTGAACTAGTCTTGTACAAAATCAATAAAATATTAGGGCTTCAATCCTATATCTATTGTTGAACCGTTAGGTTATGGCTTCAAACCAAGTTAGGAACCCAAGATAATAACAATAGTAGTGACACATTACTTACATTCTAATGGTTGTAATTTATTTTTTTTTGTAGTCAGTGATGACACCGTCCCACTACTCGTGGTAGGAATAGAACTCAAGACGTCATGTTGTAGCCTTGAGCCCATTCATATAAATTACTTATGTTCCACATATGAAAATTCAGTTTGGAAAGCAGAATAGTGCTCAGTCATTGCATAGCAACATTCAAATTTTGTCACGATGTTTTCTCCAAAATGAAAATGCTACAGCCGGTGATTCAAAAAGTGGACCGCCCAGCTCCTAGACGGCCACCAAGACAGTCCGAAAGGCCTGGGCACATCACCAGGCCTAGGCGGCCAATCTGGGTGGTCAATCCCTGGGCGCCCGCCTAGGCAGTACGGAACCCGCCTAGACGGCTGCCCAGCGCCCTGCCTTGGGCAGCCGTCTAGGGCCTGCGCCCCGCCCAGGGGCAGAATAAAGAGAGCATTTTGTCATTTTTTTTTTTTTTAAGGCCCAAAAATTAGGGTTTTAGGTTCATTTGAAACCTAAACCTTGTTTGAGCCAAATTTAGAGAGAGAAAACCACCAAAAAACTAGATTGTGGTGAATTTTTTAAGATCGAAGGGTTACTCAAAGTTAACCAAAATTGATCAAAACATCACCCATTGGTATTATATTTACTTTTTAATGTTTTGCAAAGTTATTAGGGGGTATTTTAGAAGATTTTGAGTATTTAGAAACATCTTTGAAGTGGAAGTTTGAAGATTGAGCAATTAAACTCAAAGTAAGTGGTTTTTTTTATTGCTTCAATAATTTGCATTATTTTTTAGATGTCTTCTTCGGGATCTAATAGGAGTGGTGATCCCGGTTGGAAATATGGCTATAACCCAGATCCTAATGATAAAAATTGCATAAGATGCAATTTTTGTAAAAAAGTTACAAAAGGGGGCATAAACAAGTTCAAGAAACATCTTTCCGGTATCAAGGGGGATGTTGCCCCATATAAAAAGACTCATGATGCTGTTAAATAGGAAATAAAGAATTTTATGAACTTGGTGAAAATGAAAAAAGATGAGAGATTTGCCTCTATAGCAGAGATTAGATTTAAGGTTCGAGTCAATTTTGATGATGATAATAGGGATGAGGAAAGGATTGGAGAGGGATGTCAAGAGGTTGAGCAATCCATTATTAGGGGAAAGGGGAAGGGAGTTGTAATTGCTTCTGGTTCTGGGACAAAGAAGCCTCGGGTTAGAGGCCCTATGGATAGTTTCTTACCTCGGCCTGACCCTGAGATTGCAGGAGAAAAAACAAAAAAGCAAACCACCATTGAAAATAGAATCAAGAAGGAAGAGAGAGATAGAGCTGCGTATTATTTGGCTACATGGTTTTATGAGACGGGTATTCCTTTCAATACCGCTTGCTTGAGCAGCTTTTATGCTGCAGTAGAGGCAATTGGCCAATTCGGCCGTGCGATGAAACCCCCAACCCCATATGAGCTCTCAGAGCCTTTTTTAAAAAAGGTAGTGAATGTCACAAAGGAAGTTGTAGAACTTAAAAAAGATGCATGGGCTCAGTATGGGGTTTCTCTTATGACTAATGCTTGGAGTGATAGGAAGAGAAGAAGTCCAATGAATTTGCTTTTGAATTGTCCAGTAGGGATTTTTTTTTAGGTCTATTGATGCCTCTGATCATATTCATGATGCCCATTACATATTTC